TTTTTTTTTTTTACACCTAATAGCTCAGCAATGGGCGCACAAAGTAAAATGGTATTTAGTCTATTGCTTTCTGGGAGTTTATATTCCAAATGAGGTTTAAAAGATAACTATGGGGTAAGTGTTTTCCCCCTTATCTCTTAAGGGTCGCGGGAGGACATAAACTAGAGTCCTCCCGTGACCCAAAGCTCAGTATATTGCGAGCTACAGCTTTCGGTATACTGAGACCGCCCCAGCCGTGACGGATCCCGACATTACTGTCAGAGATCCACCCAGCTGCGTGAGTGACAGCGGGCTCTGCCTATCTAGAGGCAGAGCCAGCTGTACCCGCCCCCTCCGCCGTCCATTCCGCCAGTCAGCGCTGGAGGATCAGAGCGGGGAGGAGGGGAAATCCCTGCGGGGAGCGGTGACTGACGGTCACAGCTCTCTGCAGGGAGATGATCGAAAAGTGATAGGGCGCCGGTATGTGTTCACTCACTCCCTGATCTATTGAGCCGACAGTTTCATTGTCACACGTCGGCTCGAACTATGAGGATGAGTGATTTTCACTCACCTCATAGTTCTCCTTTTAAGACTTTTATAGCTTTTTGGAAATGTTACATCTTGAGTGCAGCGCCTATATCCATGAGGAATTCCACCCTTGTGCACAGAATAAGCCGCATCCTCCATCATGAATGATATTCAGACCTGGCAGATAATTAGACTTCAGTGTGCGTTCACAGAGGTCAATGTGCGTTGACAGAGCTCAATACGCACTTCTGCCAAGTCACCAGTGTGACGGAATCCACAGCACCTCCAGTATAATTATTATATAACCCGGAATGTGTGCCAGGAAAAAGTGATACTGTCAAACTTTGATACATGCATAAAAAACAGTTACATACAGTACAATAAATCATTCCAATTGTTTATTCACATGATAAACAGCCTAGCAACCTTTCAATCTGAACTCTGGGAAAGCAAATCTTACCAAAATACATGAGCCATGTGTATTCTTCCTCGACTCTTGGTGAGCTTTGTGTATTTCTTCCAGATCTGTTCAGTCCAGTGTGAAACTTGGCGCTTCCTGTAATAAAGACCGGTCACAGCTGCTTTCTCTGCTTGTGCGGGGTGACTGGTCTTGTCTACGCCCCCCACCTACAGTTTCCTACAGTGGGAGTGGCCTGCTGGGGCCCTCCCACAGCTCTGCACAGGCTATATGCAGCACCGTGATGATGTCACTGCTAATTTTACATGGCAATATCTGGAGTGTGGTACACACACAGTGGCTTTATATCCTCTGTGACTATTGAGGAATATACAGTACTGTATATAAATGTTTTTGCTCCTAGACTTCAGCTTTAAAGCTGGGCGGACCAATCCAAGGAACATGTAACTTTATTTGGAATGTTGCGTGACATCTCAGATGGCTATTAAACTTTAACCCTTGCAGTGACAAAGTTCTTGTAATGAGTAAATCTTGAGTCACGTGATCTGAATTGGGGTAAAGTCAGCATTTTGGTCACGGAGCTCAGAGCACTGTCTACAGCAGGCGTCGGAGGAGCAGAGATCATCCTGGAGGGACAGAGAGGGTAAATTTGCTGATGGTTTATTTTTTTTTATCTCCGAAGGTTTCGTCAGCTAATATATGTCAGGAAATACTGAGGAAGTTGTTAAATATATTACAGACATCTGCAGATGCATTGCTAATGATCACAGAAACGTTAGTGAAAGGGAGCACCCGAGTTTGTGGACAATGCATTTTAGGAAGGGGCATTTGTTCTGTGCTTTGTAATGTTGTTTTTAGAATGAATGGGACCAGATTGGACTGGCATAGGGAGGGTGAGCTGCTTTATACTTTCTTGCTGTCGTGCTTGGGGCTAAAGCAGAACTCTGAGTACCTACAGTTGAACGCCAGGGACAAAAAAATTATTCATGGAAGAGGTGGAATGCAGGCAACCCACATCCAGTATCCTTCACTGTGTGCACTGTATGAGAGACGGCTTATGCAGAATATAGTGCTGGTCTTCTCCTGGTCCTGCATAGCACTTGATGTTGGGAGGGGAGCCACAACTGGCAAGAGTTCAGGAAAAAAAGTAGTCCTTAATATCAGAACTGGCAGGGCTTTAAGGTAATGACCTTGACTCTAGCTGCCTAAAAAGCTCTCCACCCCCCCTTCTTGACCTTCAGTGGTTGTGGTAGTTTTTTTGATGGCTACTTCCAGCTTTGGTTTTTGCTACCTATTGTGTACAACCAGGGGCGGATTTCCCACAACGCCAACCAAGGCCCGGCCTTGGGGCAGCAGGGAGTGGAGTAGCAGCAGGGGTGTGGAATTCCTATCTCCCGATGCCCAGGCCATGCAATTCCGGGCACTGGGCGTGTAGTTGTTTTCTACATTTAGCCCTGCTTTGGTCACTTGTTTTGTACAAGTGGTCCCGGCGATGTTGCCGGGACCACTTGTATGCAGGTCTGCCATTCTCCAATGGGGGGAGAGGGGGGGTTTGGCGGGTTAGGAACCTCAAATGGGGTTTGTGGTAGTCAAATGCCTGTCCTGCAGTCATGGTATGGATGCATATTCTGTTTCAGATCAAGGTTCTAGTGTGCTTGGTGACTGAGACTGGCACTCTTCCTACTTGCAAAAATGTTTGGCTTGTTAGAGCCCGATGATGCAGAGCTGTGCTAATGTGATGTGAGCATTGCTCTCTGCTGAATTGCACAGAGATTGCAGGACCCATTGTGACACACACTTGGGGTGGGCCCATGAAACCCTACTCAACTCGCAGTATGTCCTCACCCTTTTTTTTTTTTTTGTACCTGCTGAGGGACATGAAAGAAGTCCAGAGTTACGATGTAAACGATCCTAATTCAAGAACGCTGTAGCCTTGCCCTTTTGTCCATCTTTACAAAGAAGAAAAAAATCTTTTGCAATGCCCCTCGTTTGGAAGGACAGTCCCTCGTTCAGACTTTAATTGCCCTCTATTTCTTGAATGCATTCACTGTATCCTTTGTTAGTCTGCTTTGTAAATGTTTACATTGCATATTATCAAACAGTAGACTAAAGGACTGGAACTATGGTTGCTCTCGTCTATATGAAATCATGGGGGCTATAAACACTCAGCTTATGCTTTGTTCAAAGCAGTGGTGGTCCACATACTTGATATAGGGGGTCTCCTAACATCACCAAAGAGCAGAACATATTATACAGTGAATGTAATGCTACAGAAAGCTGAGGGAGACTAAAGATGTGCAACAGAAGATGGTCAGAGATACTATAGGAGTTGTTGGGAGACTGGAGACATGCTTCAGTAGACATTCGGGCTGGAGACCAATGGCATGAGACTGTCCCACGGGTATAACTGTCCCACTTCCCCAAGTGTGCTTCCTACATCCCTTATGAATTAGTTCTGCCACGGTCGATATTTCTAAGACAGCCTAAATAAAATTTTTACTTTTACTGGGTTGAGCAGGCATCAAAATAGACCACTGTCTGCAGGGGTTCCAGGGACGCACAGTAAGGGCCAAAAGGGCTGCATGAGGTTGAATGTCACTGTCCCCACCTCATTCAATTACAGGATACTAGCTCAAAGGATTTTGAGCAGGATTAATACTTATCTTTTGCACTTCTCCAACTGATATAAGAAAATGATTTAAACTGCATATTTAAAAGACCAACAGGGAGCAAATCTGAGACTCTAATTTTTAGGGTTTACACACACTTAGTACTTTCTGTATCTAAACTGACCACATAACACTTCATATGCCCCCTCATGTGTTGGCACATTATTTATTAGAGTAGTGGTCACCAAATGGCAGACAGCGGTCCGGACACGGACAGTGTAGCATTTCTGTCTGGATTGTGTTTGCCTTTCTGCTCTGGCTTATGGCTGGCTGACCGTGCATACACCGGCCTCCAAAGCCAGTGCATCCACTTCCAGCCTTAACCCAGCGCAGGCCCCACCTCTGCTTCAGTCATTAGCTGCTAGACTCTGGCTTCTCAGCAGCCAGTGATGGCAGGCAGGGTCGGCTCCTCAACTGCAAGTGATCTGGGTCACTTGTACTAGCCAGGATAATGCCGCTCCCGCCATGCACCTTTACCCCTCCCCCCCCTCACCGTGGTGTTCAGATACTCCGCTCCTCGGTGGGGGCCCGGGACAACAGCAGGACAGTACTAGGATGAAGAGCAGGAGCAGACCGGGCAGCGCTTCATGCTTCAGCTGTGAGAAGTTGGTTGAAGTGCTGGGTAAAAAAAGTGACGCACATTCCTGTGTTAGAGGTGCAGGGGTGATGTCTCCATAAAGAGAACCTGTCGCCTCCAAATACTATTTCATAGGGGCTTGTTGGCCCATGTGTGATAGAAAAAGTTAGGTAAAAAAAACAGTGACAAAACAGTAAGAAATAATAAAATAAAGTATGAAATAAAAAAAGGTGATCAGTGTAAAAAATAATAAAAAAATTAAAACCAACCCTGCTGCCCCTGCCATCTGATATGAATGAACACATGCATATAAGGCATGTACGTGTATGTAAACGGGAGGGCATTCATACAAAAAAAATAGTGTGATGTGCTGAGATCAGCACATTAGTACCAGCAGCTGTGCATTGTAGTACAGCTGCCGATGTGAATGCAGTCCAAATGGCGGACCGTGGTACGGGCCCTAACTAAATGACTGTTCTGTCCAGACCGCAATACGGACCACGGCTCAATAAAGATTTTACTTACCGGACCCCCTTATTCACTGCCCCTGTTCTAGAGAGTCAAGTCCTAGATGGTATTGCTACTCACTGCAAAAGAAATGGGCTAGAAGTGCATTACTGGTTCTTATATTGTAAAATACACAGTGAAGGGAAGTTATCAAAACTGGGGCAGACAAAATCTGGAGCAGCTGTGCATGGCAACCAATCAGCTTCTCTCTTTGATTTTCAAATCTTAACTGTACAAACTGAAGAGAGAAGCTGATTGGTTGCCATGCACAGCTGCTATAGATTTTGTCTGCTCCAGTTTTGATCAAGTCCCCCCTCTGTGTTTATGTATTTAATTCAGGGCCGCACAACTCAACTAGTCTTTCATACAACCCATGCCTTGGGAAATATCTCAACTCCCAGGTATGTGTAGTTATGATTTATAAATACTCAAGCGGCTGAATGGCACCAGTATCCCCACCATGTCCTTATGTGGCTCCTCTCCAGCCCGCCGCCCTCTAACGCAAACAAAAAGGCGCTGCTCCGGCGGTGAAGAATAAAGAGGCGTCTTGTGTGGATGCAGCATAGACAGATTTTATATGCAGCCCAGATACCTCAGTGGTAACTGAAGATGACTGGCCAATGGAATCTGAACAAAGTCTCCTCTATAGCTTCTAAGGGACAACTGTTTACAGATCTTCAAGCAGACATCAGAAATAAGTTGTTACCTGTGTATGTGTGCAATGGTTTGAGGGGGAAGCAGTCCGCTACAATGAACTTCTTTATTAAACTGAAGCATAGAACGTGTTTTGTTATATCCGTTTGGAAAGTGCAGAAAATGCCTGTGGATCCTACCAGAAATCCTGTTGGGATAGGAAGTGGCTAAAAGAGGCTACAGGCCATTAGTAGCACTCAAATGCAAAAAAATATTTGGGGGGTTATTTTGAGATTTATTTAATTTAAAGAAAAGAAAAAAAGCAATTGTTTGGCTTCCAGTTAAAGCTGAAGTTTAATCTGCTTATTTTTTGAGTTTCCTGGTTTTTTCCTTTCCCGCAACCTGCTAATGAAATTATTAAATAAACCCTTTCTGTTTTCATTGCATACCTTATTTTTGGGTTTCTGTGCTTCACTATGCAATGCAGGCAGATCATGACTGGTGGGAAGGGCCAGCAGGGTGCTGCACACGGCTCCCTGAAATAGGACTACAGCTAACAATAATTTTCATAATCTATTAGTTGCCCGATTTAATTTTTTTCAACTAATCGATTTTTTGTTTTTTTTCAAAAACCTTTACAGCAGAGAGAACTCCTTGTGTATCATAGATAAGCATGCATAAGACTAACATTGCACTACAGCTCAAAAGATATATCCGCACATTAGCATATGATGTTGCATTTCCAACAGGGGGGTCCTGATGTGAAGGGGGAAGCCTTTTTTGTGTTTTTGCAGGCGGTCCCCTTAAAATTCATATCTCAGGGTCTGGTATGGATTGTGGAGGGACCACATGTCATTTTTCACATTTACGTTTCTTACATTTTAGACCAGGGTACCTTGAGATTTTTGCATAGTTTTAAACATATTGCTGCAACAGAAGAGAGGTGGACAAACGCTGATCTAAAGGATGGAATGTTTTTAGTGCAATATAAATAAATTCGACAGTTAAACTGTGCATCCCCCTTTTTTTTCTTTCTGTAGCCCAGTGCAAAAAAAAAGACAATTTAGAATGAATGAGGGACAGTTGGGAGCTATGAACGTGTCCCCAACCACCTCATAACATGTCCACACATATTGGTGGTGTCAGGGGCCACAGCTGAAGCTTCCAATTGCTTGTAAGTTGACCAGAACAATTTTTGCTGGTTAAATTTAATAATAAGCCAATGATACTCTTCTGTTCAGCGCTACACAAATGTATAAAGTGTGTGTGTGTAATACACAATCTTAGACATGTAATTTTTTTTCATTCCTAATATCCATGCAAGTTTTAACTAAATCGGACATGTACTCTGGCCAGTCAGATTATTTTATTTTTTTTGGCTGTTGGCTGGTTGCATGTGACTTCCTGTTGTGGCTCTTTCCAAAACGAAAATTCGGACGAATACAAAATCTGAATTAACTTTCTCATCCGAAAAAAAACTATAGATAAAAATCCGAATCGATCTCAAACAAAGACACATTTTTTGCAGGGGTTACTTGTCTAGAAGATATATTGTCACAGAGCTGGCTGGCAGGACGATGAAAGTGTGCAATGATTGCCAGAAAGACAAACAAATGTCAGGTGACTGTCTGTCCTGAATATCCGGGTTGCTGCGTTCATCCAGAATGCAGTTTGCCTTTGCACAGAATGTAATCCGTCCGGTCTTTCTGCCAACCCTTCGCCCCTTGTTCTTCCCATATTCATAAAGTGGGTATGGCCCGGAGCTGGCTGTATCTGCTGTGCAAACATCTGAACTTCTATAGTGCGTCATGTTATTCTCCTAACGATCCTCTCTCCGATTCCCGATCCTGAGGATGGACATGGTATTCGTGGAGTAAGTGTAAAGGCGGCCACAGTCGTATCAATATGATTATTCAATTGATCGTTGGATGCAGAAGAAATTATCAAACTGAATAAGAACCGTAAACCACAGACGTTCTGGTTCATCGATTCAGCAAGCTCTCAGCAATTTTGGCACGGTCAAGTCAATTGACTGTGGCAGACTTCTGTCAACCGCTTTTAATAGATCAAGTTAATGTGTGTATGTGTGTGTCAGAAAACATTGCAATTCACAGTTTAAATGATCACTCTTTAATATATCATTTGTGATGGATCATATGTTGCTCTGTTTTTTTTTAGAGATGTCTATCAACGCAACACATACAGTGTAGATTGGAAAAAAAATTTTTTATATTTTTTATTTCATATTTTGATTTTATGATCAATTGTTTGTACCTTGATCAATCACAAATCAATAAGTATTTAAAAATATCTATCGTTAAATGATTTGCCTGCATGTGTGTGTGTGTAAGGATTTGATGCTGCCGACTTGCAGAGTACAGGCCAAGAGCAGAATACCCGCCTGTTGCTGGCAAGTGAGATTCCGCAGCATTTTGGCCTGCAAGGTTACAATGAAGCAGGCAAGAGGTCTCTTCAAGGATCCTATTGCTTGCTGGGAACATTGATTATCTTTTTCCCATTGAAAAGATATCTTCTTCCTGTTGAGTCTACAGGACAGGAAGTGAAGGGAGATCTCTCGAATGAGACACATGTGGAAAAAAACTGACACCAGTTTAAACTCTTCCCTGCTGCAAAAAAAAAGCAGGGCAGTCCACTCCCCCGATCTCCTCTCTTCCTTCCTCCCCCTTCTCAAAGCTAGTAGATGGGAGAGATGTTGGTGACTGCTCTGTCCCTTGTGATTTTTGTATTGGACAGGTAAGCCAAGCTGAGAGAGTTGGAGCCCACTGTTCGGGAACAAGACTGTAACTGCTTGGGATAAAATGTAAAGAAATACTTTGCAGTGCAATGTAAATTTGTTTTATCTGGATTCAAGTTGGAAAAAAATTGAGTTTAATGCTACTAGAAGGTCTTTAACTATTGAATTTATTTTTCAGGGTGTCTTCTATGGAACCGGAGGAGCTGGAGAGGAAGGGTGTAAAGTTAAAGGAAGATCTGAAGTTCTATTTTATGAGCCCATGTGACAAGTACAGGGCTCGGCGCCAGATACCCTGGAAACTGGCCTTGCAGGTTCTCAAAATTGTTATGGTGACAACACAGGTGATAAAGATAATTTTGTATGACTTTTTTGAGCTAATTTGAACACTTCTGATCAGCAAGTAGCCGGCACTGCACTAGGTTTTGTGACGGCTTTCCTCAAGATTTTGGAGTTTTTTCTTTGGACATGTGTACCCATTCAGCCCAAAAAAGCATTTGTGAGGTCAGGTACTGATGAGTAGACCCGGCCCACAATTGGCATTGCACTTCATCCCAAAGGTGTTGGGTTGAGGTCAGAAGTTTCTCCACAACAAACTCCTCAAACCATGCTCACTGGAGTTCCTCCACACCAAACTCCTCAAACCACCATACATGTGCTGCAAAAAACACAGCTCAATGGACATGATGTGAACAAATCCTAAACGCTCTGCACATTGTTGTCTTTATAGGTAGTTTAAACTGATCTGAATTGATTGGTTTCTTTTTTTTTTCCAGCTGGTCCTGTTTGGTTTGAACAATCAACTAGTGGTTTCCTTCAAGGAGGAGAACACAATGGCCTTCAAACACTTGTTTCTCAAAGGATATACTGGTATAGATGAGGATGACTACAGCCTCACAGTTTACACTCAGAAGGATTTCTACAAAAGCATATTCTATGTAATTGACCAGGTACATAAAGTGTGACATGAGATACTACATGTTGTTGGGGCTGTATGGACATTTCCTTTTATGGTTCACAAACAAAGGCTCCTTGTATGCTGTCCATAGACACCTCGAAATTTGTCCATTTCCTGCTGGCTGGTCACTGTTTTTAGGTATTCAGGCAGCCGCAGGTGCTACAGCTGCTTAATGCAATAGGCGCCAGCGGTGATCCTTCCATCCATTATGTTTAGCATGGGATGTGGGGTCTTGGCAGCGCTGGAAAATAAGTTGGGGGTGGAGAACATTTTAAGATTCTTATGGTTTATTTATTTTTCTTGTACCCACCTTTTTATTTTGCAAAGACAATGGACTCCCTAGTCTTCCTGGTCTTTTACTCCTGTTTTCTGTCTTGTGATAGTACCGTCAGATTGGCAACCTGTCACTTGGCACAGTTGGCTATGAAAATGATGAGAAGAGGAAAGGGCTGAAGATCTGTAAGCAGCATTATCACAGAGGGTCCATATACCCATCCAATGACACCTTCTATATAGACCCCACTGTGGAGACAGGTATTTTATGTTGGTTTACTAGTGAAATCACTTTCATGTTTCAGTTTCATGTTTTCACAATGTGGAAAACGTTTCTATATGCCTTCCCACTCCAGCCAAAATATTACATTTTGGACGTAGAGGGGAAGCGAGGTTTGTCAGGTTTTATTGCTCTCTATTTCCTCATCTTGTGTGGTTTCCAAGCACTTCCTTTCTCTGAATATAAACCCAGAAGTAAGTGGAAATCTTCCCAAAATGAGGGGACCTTTGACGGCTGAACACGAACGGGTGTCTCCAATGGAAGATATCCCCTCCTGTTCCAGTGGCAACTGTATAATTTTGCATTCCTCCATACTTTCTTACTCATTGAAAATGGCTAACAGGTCAAATAGTGACAAGAAATGCCCCAAATGGGAACCCAGATTGCCAAAAAAATTGACAGAAGTTCTAACACAAATCTAAAAATATTTAAGCTGGAGTTTTACTTTAATAGCACTGCCAGGCTGCTGCAAATCTGCCACAGCTGCTTGGACTTTCTTTAATATGGCATAGTCGATGGTTGTTTACTGCAGCCTGGCCTTGCAAACGTCCTATTCACAAACACACACTCCATTGTGTGTCAGTCCGCCAGTCTGTGCTCTGATGTCCCTCTATGATTTCAGAATGTCTGCACCTACCCCAGGAGCTGCTGATGACCAACCACTCTCATGACTTTCTGCTAGCCAACTCCTCCTTCTTCAACCTGGAGTTCTACAGGTAATGAGTTCTTGCCTCTTCTTGCCGAAACTCTTTAATATCGGTCGTATAAAGTCTACCATCTCTTATCATTGCAGGCTTATTAAAGTGGAGATCTCCTTCAGGCTGAAAGGCATTGACCTGCAAACCATACGAGTCCGTGAGCTGCCGGACTGCTACATGTTTCACAACAAGGTGAGTGCTTGGTGTATTTTTGATACGGAACCTGTGTGGTCTTGAGACGCCCGCATAGCACTATTTCTTTTTGTATCGAAAATGGTTGTAAGCTGTTCTTAAAAGTTTGAATGCCCTGGTCAAATTTCACCTTCAGCTGATCAAAGTGAAAGAAGTCAACACAACTTTTCCCCTAGTTTTAGTGGGAATGTTTTAAACAAACCCCACCCCCTTCGCCCCTTTCCATTCAACCACTACACTCCCAGGAAGATCTTCTACCAGGGATTCCTGCCAAGAGTGCAGTGCCCACTACAGCTGGAATTTGGTTCAATGATTCCACACACAGGCCTCCTAAAGGGTTTATGTTGATAGGCAAATGCTGCATGCTTAAAAATAAATTTTATTAGCATTTGAGGTGATGCCTCTAAATTTCATGTGTCTTCCAGTTGACTAACTTCTAAGCCCCATCAACCTGCTTCAAGCTACTTTTGTATTCCTACTGACTTGTATAGAGTGGGGGGGGGGAAGCAAGGAGGCTTCATATTGCACAGCTGCAAACTTGGATCAGAGTCATCTTGATCTTTGTAAAGCTACCTGCCCTGCTTCCAAATTCATGTGCAACTCGCTTATATTTTATGTAATAACTTATAGACATCTGGTACACTTTGTTCCTTCAAGATTTGCCTAAAGTTTTAGAACACCTACAATCTTTTCTATGAAATATATCACCTAAACATCTTGGGTTGCTGCACACAGTGGCTTAGATAGGGATTTCTTTGGTAGTGTCATTTATTTCAGTACACCTCCAACCCCCAATCTAGAAACCTAGTGCAGGTTCTCTTTCATGGTAGTGCATGGTTCTGGATAACCTGCAATGCTCGGTTAAATTTGATGGGACCGCTTTATTGAAAAGGTAATAGGTGATAAGTGCTCTTTAGTACATTTTATGTTCGGTTTATGTTAACAATATACAGTAGTTCCTTCTAGAAGTCATGTTTGGACTTGTGGAAATGCGTTTTCAAAGAATACAATCATAAAGAGTTTGAATAATTTATCAGGAAGTGTTTTCCAGCTACTTGACACATTTAGCGCTTTATTGCGTCGCATTCCATTGATATATTTAGCAGTTTTAAACCGTTGTTAATTATGTTTCATCTTTATTTCCTTGTTTGCTTACAGATAACGTTCAATAACCAGGCTCATAGTGGAAAGGTGAAGATCTTCTTTGACAGTGATGCTACTATTCAGGACTGCAAGGACTGGCATATATCTGGTTCCAGTGAGTCGAATCATGAAATGACTGTACTCTGTTACAAGCACACTATACATGATATTCATTTTTCAAGCTGAATCAGAATAATTCTAGACCAGAAAATTTGTAATACAATGTACATTGTAAATGTTTGATTCTGCTGGCAGAATTCTCACATCAGCCAACATATCAACTATGTGCCCAGAAATAAAGAGAACCTGTAGTTTTAAATGAATATGTTCAGGGCATTTGCGAACAGCATTCTTTCAAAATGTAAAAGAAGAATAAGCCCCCCCTTTGTAAGAGTGGGAATCAAGACATTGACCATTGTTGACCATGGAATTAACTTTTCATGTCCCAGTGGCAACTGCCATAAGAACAGGGGACAATCTCCCCAACAGGCACACATCAACAAGCAATCCACACAGGGCCGGATTTACTCTCTCTGCTGCCCCAAGGCCAGGTTCCTCAATGCGCCCCCCTACCTGCCAACCCACCAACCCCCACATTCATGTGATCTCTACAACATCACCAAGATGTACAAAAGCTCTGCTTGCCCAAAGCAGAGCTAAATGTAGAAAATAACTACCTGACGGGTGTGACGTACGTCCGGCCCGAACCCGCTGTACGTCAATCCCACGTGACTATACACAAGTCTGAACCGAGCGTTGCAAGGACGTGGCGATACCACTCTCAGCCTCACCCTGCGCAGAGATTTCCCAGCTCGCAGGACACAATCTCAGGCCCTCAGACTGAGAGCGATTGTCACCAGGGTTGGTTAACTCTGCAATTAACCCTTTACCCACAAACGTTCACTGCCACCATGTATTTTTCGGAATACAAACCGTGCCCAGCAAATGCTGCGACAATTTAAACACTTAAACAATGCCTGTGATACTGCTGTCCTCTCAGACAGGAATATGACAGGATTCACTGTACTGTAGCGCTCTTCAGAGGCAAGGATACTTTAAGTTCGTATTTAGAGCGTAAAGATAAGCTTAACGATTTTTAAGATCGTCCTTTAATAAAAGAAACGGTGCCGAAAATATACAGAAAAAGATTTAATAAAAAGATATATATATATATATCAAAATAAAAGGAGAATATTTAACTCTGTCAGAACTCACAATTCCAGGACTGTTAGAGTTAAATAAGCGAATGGGAAGTCTGCAGGGCTCTTCTTCAAGCAGACTTCCAGCAGATAATGTCCAAAGATTAAAGAGGAACTCTTCTGCGATGTTAAGACTTCTTCTAGTTCCTTGATGTTCTCAAAAGGACAAGAGCCACTCTAGTTGCCTCGACAGAATATTTTATAAGCCCCTTCTGGAGGGTGTCCCGGAGCCGGCCCCCAGGCAGGGCTGGGGAGGGAAAGCAGGCAGAGGATGAACCTTTAGTTTACCTATCCCCACCCAATTCCAAATTAGTAAAATGTAGCTTAATTTTCAAACTCAGGTTTTATGACTTTAGGGAGAATGCGGGGATCACCGTGGTCACCACCATCTTCCAGACCTGCTGGTTTATATTACTGTCCAATGGTAATGGATGGGTGCCTAGTGCCATGCCTTTAATTAATGACAGCCATAAAAGGCTTAGAGAGATATTTTGGAATTTCACTAGGACTGGGCAATAAAAGATCACAGCCAGCTAGCAAATCTCCTGTTCTGTGAAATAACTGAATCCACATGCAGAGCAGGCTTTGAATAGAACACTTCTAAATACCATTAAAACCTTTTGTTTAAGGGACCAAGTACCAGGTCTGCCTCACCTATCCTTTGTTTTCATATTCAATTTTTATTATTTCAAAACAAACAAAAAATAACTTTTAACATATAGTCGTTCTACATCAAGGTACATCTAAACAGTTCATATCCTACATTAAGTGTCGGCGGGCAGTCCTCACTCCCGCCCGGTCGTACTGCCGACCTGCGGAGTGGTACTGTCCATCGCCTACCTCGTACAGCAACTGTTACCATAGTATCAATGGAAAATAAACACTAAGAAAAGGAATAGAATATCCTGACCCTTCACAGCATTGTGTTTATTACCTAAATAGGTGCACATTAAATGATGGCTTTTGTCTATGTCAAATGAGGCTGCCATCCATTGAGGAAGGCTGACACCGCCCAATTGCCATAAGCAGTGCTACCCCATCGTTACACGGCAGTTGCTAACTTCTCTGCAGCATGGCACAGATTGAATTTGCCACCATGGAAGCAATTCACTGGGCAACATTAATATTACATTGTCTGAAAAGAACTCTGATTTACCTGTACCAACAATTTGTGGAAAAAACTACACATGGAGAAACTAATCTTTTTCAAAAACTATAACAAGAAAAATTAGTTTACATTTCAAGACGTTATTCTATATGAAGCGGATTTCTTGCAAAGGGAACATCACAGATCATAGTTTTGATTCCCTTGCAGTTCAGAAGAACACTCACTATATTCTGGTGTTTGATGGCTTTGTTATCCTGACGTGCTTGACGTCTCTTATTCTGTGTACGCGATCCATTGTCCTGGCTATAAGACTACAAAGGGTAAGTACAGTTTTTGAGTCAACTTGCTGTCAGATCATCTTTTCTGAGCACACCTGAATTTTCAAAAATTCCTAGGTGCCTTTTTTTAAATGGTTCCTGGCTGTCATGCTGAGACAGTGGTTTCTGAACTGACTATTCCCACTGTCCTTTGTCAAACAACATCAAATGTTATTACAAAATTGTAATGAAATTTCACATGGACCAGAGATCCCTTCTAACTTGCTGGCTTGTCAGAATTGTAGATAAAACCTTCAGCACAAGAGGGCAGCAAATCCTAATTTTTTTTTCAATGCGTTCTTTGCTTTTTATTGCAGAGGTTTGTAAATTTTTTCCTGGATAAATATAACCGACACGTCTGTTCAGCTGACCGGCTGGAATTTATCAATGGCTGGTATGTCATGGTCATTATCAGCGATTTGATGACAATCATTGGATCAGTGATGAAGATGGAGATCAAGGCCAAGGTAGGATTATAAGATTGCTGCACTGATATTTGTCTAACATCCAGTGGAACTTTATATGCCCTCTCTTCACCCTTAAGTTTTAGACATGTGAGGTTGTGATTTGGCCTCAGAAGGTCCATCAGCTTGCTAGAGCCCAATTCCAGCCAAAATATGCTTTAGAACATTTGTATGGACTGTGAAATGGGTGAATTCTACACTATTCATACAAGTGTTTGAAAGTAGGTGCAGGTACTGGTTGGCTGAAATGCATGAAGTGTAACTTAGTGGAGGTTCACTCCAAATTCAAATGAAAACCAGAATGTCTAACTAGTTCTTAAAGTGTATCTAAGCCAAGACCAAAAATGTAATGTATTGCGGCTTACCTGTCCTCCAATGTGACTGCTGTCTTCGTTTTTATTTTTCCTTTTATTTTCACCTGGTGATTCCGCCAGTAACCCACTTCCTGTTCTAGAGTGACAACGTTCACTCGCCATAATGTATCTATAGAGAAGAAGCTTTGTCTCTACAGGACAGGATTGCAAACTTTTTCCCATCTCCTCTTCTCCATAACCTAGATGGGAGGGACTCTGTAGTCCTCAGGGATAGCTGGGAACAGTGTAATTGATAAGAGTGTGCAGCACAGGAAATGATCAGTTGACAAGATTTCACTTGTACTTGTAGAATAGGTTTAGCAAAACACCTTCAATGGCTGAAAAGACCAAATGAGAGAAGTCCATTATTATGGATTACATACTCTTTAACTGGCAGAAATCATTTTGGCATTGTCTGTAACTAAGAACAAGATGGTTTTTCTAATTATTGACCATTTCAAATGGGGAATCCCAGTAGACATTAGCAGAAGTTAAAGATGAATTCCGGAATGAGAATTAGAGCATCTTAGCCGGCAGCCTTTATCCCTTGAGCAAACTTTTCATTATAACTGGAGTGCTTCTTGGAACTCTACGTATGTTAACCCCCCCCTCTTTTTCCCCTGTGTCCACTTGATATGAAAGTTGATATTAAAGTTCTAAGGCAGCCGCTGATGGGGAATTTAATGGCCTCCACCCAAGACTGGTATTAAACTTTTGAGAAATCAGAAAAGTATGTTGGCGCTATACAAATGCAGAAAACAATCTATTTACTCACTGAGTACCAAGAACAACTTGCATCAGTGCCTGCTCCTCCATGGAGCTCGCAATCTAACATACACCTACATATGTCGGGGCATACTTGGGTCAAAGCTAGTTACCATAGAAGTGTGTTTTTGGATTGTTGGAGGACTTTGCTTGGCGGAACTGTCCTATAGTGTAGGGGATAAATAGACATATAACATTGTTTTGCAAGAACTTCAGAAATTGTTTGGTATCTGGGCTACAAAGGGGCTTCACATTTTCCTGGTGTCTTACAAGCTTTTGTTCCTTCCTAGAACTTGAGCTCGTATGATGTGTGCAGCTTACTCCTTGGATCGTCCACCTTGCTGGTTTGGGTCGGCGTTATTCGGTATCTGGGCTACTTTCAAAAATATAACGTGAGTGTGTATCTTGTCTAGATACTTTACAGGCATTGCCGATAAGTTATTGGATCATCACAACTTGCTTCATTTCTGTATTCGGTCTTCTCTTCAGGTTCTCATCTTGACCATGCAGGCGTCCTTACCCAAAGTCTTACGATTTTGCTGCTGCGCCGGAATGATCTACCTTGGGTACACCTTCTGTGGCTGGATTGTGCTAGGACCATACCATGAGAAGGTAATGGGGAGCATTTTTTTTTTGTGTGATTATTCTCCATTTCAGTATATTTATTGGAGTTGGTAAATAACAAAACATAGATTTAATAAATAGGAGCAAACAATTAGCCATCGTGAAAAGCAACATCATCCATTAATTATTAAATCAAGAACAGGATGAAGAACTCAAAGTGTTAGATGATCCAAAAGCGGGCGCCAGACATACTTCCATGAGCACCAAGAGAGAGGCATTCACTGAGAGATATTTTCAGAGAGAGGAGTAGAGCAAAACAAGAAGAATAGAAGATGAAAATGGATAAATAGAAAGTGAGTAGTAGAGTGGAAAGCAGCAGTCTCTGATAACAGTGAAAAGGGATATGTAAGTAGGTGCGCCATTACAAGAGCGGGAATATCGAGTGGTTTACATCGGGAAGGGCTAGAGGGATCAATGGTGTCCAAACCTTTTTCAGTTTTTTTTTAAAGGTGTCTGTAAGAATACTAGTAATCTATTCATTCACGAAGAATCCCTGCATGCGCTCTTTAAATTCCTCATACGGAATGGTTTTGGTTTTTCCAGGCGTGAGCAATAGTAGGGTTCAGGCTTTAAGACTTCACCACTAAGGTATCGGTCCCTTTCCCTGATTATAAAGAGTTGCAATTGCTGCCATAATGTAAAGTGCTATAATTGTTTTCCCGGAAGTAGGCAAAGCACTCGGTAGACATAATATGGTCAACTAAAGATTAATTTCATCCGGTTTGGCTCATTTGTTGAGTTTGATGTTCCTCATAAAAAAACAAACAAATCCATGTCATTCAAGAAATACAAAAGCTGACCTCTTTCTAAAAATTCTATATGGTGGTATCTCTTTGGCTTCAGTACTTTTGGTCATGGACAGCTCTTAATAATGAACTGTGCTCCTTACTGCTGGGGGAGCTTTTGGCAGATGTAGCTCTGTGCTTGCCTCCTCCAGTGCTGACAGTTCAGTTACTTTCAGTGCTGCACCATTGGCTAGGTGCTATTTAAGGGCTTGAGTATGTCTGTGACCTCTTTAGCTGTCCATGCTTTTCTCTATGTAGCGCTCCCTGGGACTTCTAGGGGCAGGAGGAGCTGACATTTCACCCCAGGGATGAGTCCTTGGCTAGAATGTTGGATGACTCCCAAATGCACAAGAATGATGGAATTTGTAGTTTCACCATTGTTGGGAGTGCCGAGGTTGCCAACCCTACAGGCAATAATGCATCTTCTAGTACGCACTATAATAATAGATCTTCTCCATGTACTGTACATTACCCCTTGTGCTTGCAGGAGATAATCGCATTGAAGGTTTAAATTATCTCTAATTAAAGAAAAGGAAGGAAGATGTGCCTTTCACCCAAATCCCAGCCGTGAATTCCCAGTAGAGCAGTAAATGGTGTGCTCTATTAAGTCTCTTGTCCATTAGTCCTTAATTGGAGGATTCTCTGCACTACGAGTGACTAACTCTTCTAATCCAATCCAATCTCCAGACCTCCTAATGATCTATACATTTCCTACACCCACCCAGTGTATAGGTTAATGCTAAGATCCATCCCAAGAGATCATTTTGGAGAAGGCCGTGTTTTTTGGGTTTTTCTCCTACACTAATGCGCCTTTTCAGTCCCATAATGTTAAATAGCAATAAGAAAAAATGCATTTTCCCCATTGCTGACCATTGTAAACAAAGGAAATGGAAAAATACAATGCAGATATATCAATTAAACACCATAATGCAACCAGGAGTTAAGACACAAGTTAACACACTATAACGCACAATAATGATGTTCAAATGAACATGACACAGAAACCAAATACAGCTTCAAATGTGTTATTAAGGCCTAAACAACTTAAACAGGAAATACAATTAAAGGAGAGTTATGGGGAGAGTGAAATACACTCATCCCCATAATTAGAGCCAGCATGTGACACAAACTGTCACACTTCAGCTGTATAGATTCAGAACTGAGCGATCACATACCGACGACCAGTTCCCAATCTTCTCCCTGCAGAGAGAGGTGACTGTCAGATTTCCTTTTAGTGTGCTGCGGTTTGTTAATAACTGGGGATCCATCCATGTGGGAATTATTCACAATTGTATTTTTATAAATGTATTTCCTCAGTTTGAAGATCTGAACACAGTAGCCGAGTGTCTCTTCTCGCTGCTCAATGGGGATGACATGTTCGCCACGTTTGCACAGATCCAGCAGAAGAGCACCTTGGTGTGGCTCTTCAGCAGACTTTACCTTTACTCCTTCATCAGCCTCTTCATCTACATGATCCTCAGCCTGTTCATTGCACTCATCACTGACTCCTATGAAACCATTAAGGTAAGACAGAGTGTTTTATCCTGTTAATGCCAGAAATGGTAAATCGAGAGGAGAAATTGGGGGAAGGCGAGCTTTTTAAAGATGACTTTTTTTTTCTAAGGTGGCTGTGGTTCCATTTTGTTCGTAGAGACACTGTTGGAGATTGTGTGCACCGGCATGGTTGGTTTTGACATTCTAAATGAGGATAATGCTTGGTCTTTAAAGGAATTTTGAACTAATTATTTGCCTCTTCCTTCAGTTGTTGGGGCCAATGAAGACAAAGTAGAGCAGTTTACCACAGTGCGCACCAAACTTAAAATTAGATTGCTATAGAATGTTCCTCTTTTCTAAGCTTTTTTGATGACAAAATTGAACCGCTCTTTGTCCCGTTAGCAATATGGTGGCCAAGACCAGAAGGATGCTAATAGGAGGAGAAAGCAGAGAGATGAGCTCATCACTGTGCTGCTTCTCCTTTCACTATCCAGTCATAGGCTGGGAGCAGGTCCAGGATGACCCGGGCTTAGAGGAAGTTGATTTAAAAGAGAACTATGGGGTAAGTGTTTTTCCCCATAGTTCTCTTAAGCGTCACGGGAGGACATATACTAGCGTCCTCCTGTGACCCAAAGCTCAGTATATCGTGAGCTACAGCTCGTGGTATACTGAGACTGCCGCAGCCGGGACGGATCCCGACATTACTGTTGAGATCCACCCAGCTGTATGAGTGACAGCTGGCTCTGCCTATAAAGAGGCAGAGCCAGCTGTGAGCGTCCCCTCCCCCGTCCGTTCCACCACTCAGCGCTGGAGGATTGGGGAGGGGGGGGGGAATCCCTGCGCGGAGCCATGACTGACAGTCACTGCTCTCTGCAAAGAGATGATCGAGAAGTGAACGAGCGATGCTATGTGTTCGCTCACTTCCCGATCTATTGAACCGAGGTGTGATCGTTTAATTGTCACCGTCGGGTCGAACTATGAGGGTGAGTTATTTTCACTCGCCTCATAGTTCTCCTTTATTGACACTGCCATCAGATTGAGGACGTCTAGCAGCAGAAATTTAGCATTGCAGGGAAAATCTCTGGATTTAAGGTGAATATTGCAGCAAAATGAACTGTTTCATTTTATCATGGTTTAGACTGGAGTTCTGCTTTTGAGCACTTCTAGGTTACATTGGGAAAGTCATGGGGATTTATATTCTTCTTTTTTCCCCCTTTAATTACTAAGATCAAGGAGAGATAAAAAAACCCAATAAAACAACCACACCAAAAGCAAAAAAGATCATCGTAAAGTATACAAGATAACATACCTCTGCATTCCAAATTTGCTGAGAAGGTGGAAGATTACATTTTTACAGCAACTGACCTCCAAAGCAATAAAAGCTGCCATGGTGATTTCTAATTGTCTGATCTTACATTCTTCTTAGAAATATCAGCAAAATGGTTTCCCGATGACAGACCTGCATGAATTTCTACACAGCGGGGATGGCATATTGGAATGTGGACAGAAGTCAGAAAAGAGACAAGTGCACACCTTTCCCTTTATCTGCTGCTGCCCAAGGTCAGTCCTCAGGATATATCGGCTAGTATGAGGGGAAAATCTCTGCAGCTCTGATAGTATCGTATTATGTTACCTTGTGTTTGGTAGGGCGGGTGCTTAGAGGGCATGAACGGTCCAGATAAGTGTGTCTATGCAAATCTCCATCTTACCTTTTTAATAAAATATTTCTCTTGATGGTGGGACAGGCAGGAACACTTGGTGGTTGTGGCAGGCCTATGAATGGGGCGCATCCATGCTGCATGTGCATTTTCTTCCAGATCCATTGTTTCTTTAGCCTAACATTGAAAGTATATGTATGTTTCTCCTATTGGACAGATACAAAAAATCCTATTTTTTTTCCTCCAGACAAAGTGACGAAAATGACTTCATCCTTATAAACTGACGAAGAATCCAGTACGGACAATTAACTTATTTTCACAAAGGACATTACTGAGCTCTCTGGTATTGCACAGGGTGGGACACTACTAATGGACAGCTTGGAACGGTCTGTTCTTTTCTGAATTGCCTTCTAAGGGAAGGATTAAAGCTTTAGTAATTTATTTATTGTAAAACACAGTTGTGGTAGGCGGACTTGCTTCGGAGTACTGCTGGGGACCTAATGAGACAAACCACATATGATGAGTCATCATCCCCACCAATATATTCTATACACTATCAGCAAATGTATCCCATCCCAGTCACTCTGCAAACATTGGACTTCATTAAAAGGATCAGTCCAACTAAAACTGATGTTTTATTACTTGGAAGAGACCAGTAGGTTGCATCAAGAATGGTTTCTTTTATGAAGAGGGCTCTGGCAGGAAGATCTGTGCCCCATTTCCTATTTAAACAGGTGCAAATGACTTTCTCCCAGTTGTATTTGTCAATTCTTTACATTACATAAAATCTTCCCTTTAACTACGATCTATATTTTAATAATATAATTCTACATTTAGCATAATAAGACTTTGCATTCTGGGAATACACCCAATGCAGGTTTATGCAAGTATTGTCATATGTCCTTGTACAGCGGTGCACAGCCTTTCAGGTCTATAGACTGCTGTATGCAGTGCCTTGGCCTTCAAACAAACGCTGAAGGGGCACCTGGAGCAGAATTTTCTCCATGAAAGGTAAGTATTTCAGCCTTTTGTATTAGTTATCCATCCCAGCAAGGTTGTTAGCCATATGTTAATATAATAGTATAGGTCTGCTTTGGTAACCATGGCAAGCACACAAAGGTGCAGATTGATATCATATAAAGCAAGGCTCCTGCTTAGAGACAATGGGCAAAATTGACACCGTCCCCGATAGTCCCAATGCCACAGTAACATAAACCAATCCATACTCCTTCCCCGCTCCAGTAGTCCACCCTGGTTAAGCTCAGTTGGTGGGGCTTACATCGGTGGATGACGTCTCTGCCCCCTATGCGACTGTGTATGGGCCTGGCAATAGCAATAACTCACGCCTGAGCACTGTCACTTGGGAGTAGTCGCATGCCTCCACATACCTGGAAGCCCAACTCCCTTACAGCAAAGGAACAAGGGCTCTGATGGAGTACTGAGTTTTAATTGGTTGCCCCAGTGACCTGCTGTGATTGCCATTGTATTCAAGCAATAGGGTAGTGAAAAAAGTGGCGCTAGGACCAAAAACATATGTCCGTTCATACTCTCCAAGCTGGTGTTGGCTTATATTTTCCAGTCTGCACTGGATAATGAAATCTAGAACCTAGTTGCACCGCACAGCAACTCCATTTTCATGGCCAGTTTGTATTTTTTTTCCCCTCCAACTTTTGTAAGTTGGTCCCTGAAGTCTTGTATTCTTTCACGTGTTTTCTGCACTGTTTTTCTTTTTCAGGCCTTTGTGTTGTTTACAGAGACATCTTTATTTTTATGACCCTGAATAATTTATAAATTTGGCTAATTTTCCTGAAATGTAAAATGTTTATCGGAGGAGAGTAATAAAATGAAGATTCTTTAATATAATTCTGGTCAGTGTTTAAAGCAAGACTCAGACCAACACTTCTTTTTTTTGTTGTTGTCTAGATCTGGGAAGCCTTAGAACATCTCTTGGGTTTTATGGTTGTCTATATGAGACCATCAAGACGGTGGTTACATGAGATCCCACCAAGGGACCAATATAAAAACATTTGTTTTAATAGATTTTGGAAAATGTGGGGGTTGATTATTGACAGGTCTTCAGGGGATCACATTTTAGTAATTTTGGACCTCTTTCAAAACAGCTGACTTGACAATTTGTAGGCATAAAACTGGTAATCCTGACAATGACTGAGCAATTGTAACAATACCTTGGCAACAAACATTTAGTTGTGGCAATCTATGAAAAACAAATGGGATTTTATTACAATACTGACCGAAATCTGGGGAGTTCCCACCTATGGAAATTAAGGAAACCGTTGCCACTGGGACAAAAATGTTTCAAACACTAAACATGTTTTGGGCATTAAAGTGTATTAAAACCCAAAACAAGAATAAATATTTTGCAGATTAACAGTAAAGATGAACTTTACCCATATCTTCAAAATTATACCTTTTTAGAAAGGTTTAGTAATGACCATCTACGAACATGCTTATAGAGAATTGTCCACTTTTTATTTTTTGTATACTTTATTTTTCTTTTCTTCTCTAGTCCTTTGACAGTGCCCATTTTAACTAAGGTCAGGTTACTAGATATCGCTTTACTTCCTGGAACTCTGGCACATGTGACCATGCACATCATCTCAGGGGAGGAAAATGCCTTTCCTTGAGATCTCATGAGATTAAACATAAGATTTCCCAGTAATGCTTTGCTGACATAACCTTCCCAGGATGTAGCGCTTGGGCACAATTACATTATTTGTGCCAAAGTGGGCCAGGAAGTAGAAAAAAAAATGTAAGTAAAATAAAAATGTTTAGCTAATGAATGTAAGATTATTTTATATCAGCATGCAGTGCTGTATGCTGCTGTGGTATTATTATTATAATATATTTTTTATTTTTTTCAAAGGGGGTAAAGTTCCACTTTTAACCTGGTGATCCTGCAGTAACACACACTTTATGCCCTGTACTGTATCTATGGTGTACAGCATTGTCGCCCTAGGGCAGACTACAGTTTTGGAATGCACAGATACTGTTTTCTCGGTATCGGGTAAGAGAACAGATTTT